CAGTGAGATCCAAAGGAATATTTAATGGTGGAAGAGGAGAAGGGAGGTACATGGGTGGCATTTTCACAGCCGCTCATCTAACACAATTTTTGTATCTGCCTTCAGGCTCTGACAGGCCTTGAGGGGGTCACCTGTGTAACTTGTGTGATAATTATGGTGGAAGAAAATACCTCCGAGAAATACACTATTACCATTAAAAGTAAAACACAAGATTGTTTTCTCCCTTGAATGTGGCAAGAACACTGTTGAGTAATCATAATGCTTTAACCAGCTATCCTTGGGGATTAACAATGTTTTTACATTGGGGAGGACAGAACCAAGTTCTTATTTTTGATTCCTTTTGTGTGCAGAATCTTCAGAGCAGAGCAATCTGGAGCACATGACTGGTGCCAGGACAGTTGAATGACTGTAGACTGCCTGTTCAATCAGGTTTTTCCAGTTGGCTTGCTATTCTGAGGAAACTGTCTATGGGGCTTTTGGGGGTGGTGGGGGCGATGAGGAGGGGAGTGAAGGGCTACTAAAAGGGACATGTGAGAGTTTCAGCACCTGAATTGTGTGTATATATTTAAAAAATTTAGTGTAGGTGGTAGGTGACAGATCTTTTTAGCCACAGGCAGCATCCCAAGTTCAAAGCAACAATCTGACTCTGTGTGTGTGTGTGTGTGTGTGTGTGTGTGTGTGTGTGTGTGTGTACCTGAAATGCAGCATCTTACATGCCACTGATTATTGGAAGATTGAAAGAATAACACAGGAGGATAAAGCCTCCTCTGGAGATAAATAATCCCAAGGGTGTTGACTGGGCCTCAGGGGAATCTGAGACCCAACTGGGGGGTGAGAATTGTCTTTGATTTCTGTCCCTCTTCATTTTTTTTTTATTAGTTTCAGGTATACAAAACAATGTAATATTTAGACATTTACACCTCTCACAAAGTGATAACCTCCTCCCCCAATCTACTGCCCCTCTGACATCGTATATGTGTTACAATTCCATTGACCCTATTCTCTATGCTGTGCTCCACATCCTGTGACTATATATATATATTAAATTATAGTTGACATTCAGTATTATTTAGCTTCAGCTTCAAGTGTACAGTGCAGTCAGGTATCTACACCATCCACGAAGTGGTGTCCCTCTTCCTTTTCACAACTCCCTTTCCCCTTACTATTATCTTTCCAGTACTCTGAGGTAGTTGTCCCAACTGAATAAGAGCCAATAAATAACTTCCCATTGAGAGCTTAGGGGACATTATCCAAGGGTCTTAGTTTTTCCTGGTTTCACCCCCTGCATTCCTCTTGAAGACTCCATTATGTCCTTTGTGGTAGATTTCATAGAGACTAACAAAGTACAGTTTCCTCAAGGTTCCTCACATCATATCAACAAACCCTTACCTACTTTTTCCTCTTACCCACTTTTAAGACCTTTAGATGTTCNAGTCAAATAGCCAAAGTAAAACCAATGAGTCACTAAAGTAGTAATTGGTAAAATTTTATTGTGCACACACCAAAAAAGACAGTTTGCAAACTGGGAGCATTCAAACCAAAACAAGGAATGAGGCTCAGGCGTATACCATTACAAAGCAGCTTATACAGTGAGAAAGTAGTGTCTTTGCAGCAATAGGTAATTAAGCTAAATTAGTGACTAAATTGGTTTTGTTTACTCAGGGAAACTTCAAGGCTGGTCTCTGTTTGCTTTTGATTTTAACAAATGCAAGAGGCTGGGTAGGAAGTCTAGCTTGAGTGCATGCACATCACTCCAGGAGGACAAGTTAAAATTGTCATAGGAACCATAAATTAATATCTTCTGACTTGATTTTTGTTTACCATTCCAACCACAGTACATAAAATGTTTGCTATATAGACTCCAGGACAGAATGTTCCTAATATTAAAAAAAAAAAAATGGGGGTGGGTGTGAAATAGAGATACTGGACATACTGTTCTATAGGTTTTAGAAGACAAGTAGAAGGAATGGAGATATAATGTGGTCTTTGCTGCTTGGCTTTAGGAGTAGTAACAGCTAATGGCTCTTCTCTACCTGTATGCAGCTTTCTGTAATGACTATTATTAATAGAGCCAGACTGATCATGAGGCATTCCAACTGTCTCCAGAGAAGGTCTATAATGAAACTGAACTACAGTGACTTGTGTTGCCTGGCTATGACCTTGGGTGTACTTATTCACCAGAGATGTTTGAAAATAAGAAAGAAAAAAGCCAACCCACTCAAAAGAGAAAATGCCAACTGTATTTGAAGAAAGAGGTTCCTATTATATTTCCTGCCCTGGAAATGTGTTTTATCCCCCTTTTCCCCTCCAGTGTTCTGTCTTACCCAGGTATTGTGCTCAGCATTGCAGGGGTTACAAAGGTGACCAGTTAAGACACAGACCTTGCCCTTAATCTTGTAGGGTGACAAGGGCCATAAGAAAGTAGTAAGTGACCTGAGAGAGGACCAGCTAAAATGCTATGATTCAGCATGATTCAGCATTCCTTAAAATGAGTACCAGTTGGGTAGCAATCCGATAAGTCCTCCATGTTTTTAACATGAACTAAACCAGGGCCCACCCACATATCATAAGGGACTTTTAGCGATGCTTATAACCTGATTAATCCAATTAATTGCAGTGGTAATAAGAAAAGGAGAGCCCAAATCTAATACTATGTATTTGTTCCATGTGTTTCTAGCCCTTTTCTTTGGAAATTAACACAAATGGCCATTCTAATTTATAAATTAGTCACTTGTGTGTTTGGCAAGGATGAACCAATAATTAATTTCTCAATCTGGAAACATGTACTCAGACTTCAATTTAAGAAACATTAACTTTAGACTGTAATTTTTTTTTTAAGAAATTTTATTGGGGAACAGTGTGCTTTTCCAGGACCCATCAGCTCCAAGTCAAGTAGTTTCAGTCTAGTTGTGGAGGGC